TCGTGACAAAGGTATATATTTGTGTTGTGCCTAATGTAACTGTGCTGAGTTCTTATGCAATAGACCAAAATCGGGTGCAGATAGCAATCAGGAAATCAATTAACTAACTACTGGCTGCTCACACCCCAACAACCCAGCCAGCTTCAAAGCTGCTCCAAGTCTTTTGGTGCATCTTTGGGAATCTCGGGAATTCATGGAAAGCAGCACGTGCCAAGTGTTTAATGATGTGGTTGCGGTGTTTTGCAGCAGCTCAATTTCCAGCCACAGCACCTCTTAACCCTGCCCAGAGAATACAGTTCCAGTGCTACTGAGTGGAATAAACCCAGGCACTGCTGAATTTAGCCAAAGAGCCCCAGTTCTGTGCTCTGATGCTGTGTTCTAAGTACAGGATCAGCCTGCTGTGTGCTTGTGACAAAGGAAAACAAGATCACGCCGTGCTGTGCTGCCGTGGCAAGGAATAGAGTGGGTGCTCTGCTTTATCTGCATGATTTCAAAGCCAGGCAGTAAAGCACCTTCATGCCGCACCCCCGTGCCTGCCAGCAGCTGCAAACATTGCCATGAGCCTGCAGTCAGCAGAATGCTGGGTATTGGTAAGTGCCACCAGAAGGATAACCCCGATTATACAGTGCTGGGCTCAGAATAACCTATTTTCTCTCAGGAAAGAGCTTGAGGTCACTGGACAGACTTCTGACAGTACAAGCTCAATGCTCAGCAGTGGGTCAAGGCAATGAGAAGGTATGGGCAGCTGGAAAAGGAAACCAAGAAGGAGGTAAATGTAGTTAGGTCATTGAATAAATCCAGGTAGCAGCCACATCTTGCATTGTCTGTGCAGTCTGCTTGGTCCACTCGGGTTTGTCCTTTTGGAGCCAGAAGGTATTAGAGAGCTGTGAAGGATGGAGGGAAGGATAATCTATGGGAGGGCACCTGTGTGAAGAGATGGGATGGTTTAAACTGTTCTACCTGGAAAAGGCACTAATGGTGGGAGATTTGGTCAGAGCTGTGGATGGCACAGAGATGAATAGGAGGAACAATACTGTGGTATCGCAGGCAGGGTGTGCCCCCAGAACTGGCAGAGGTAAGGGGAAGTGCTTGTTCACACCATGTAGCAGGGAATTGTGGAGCTATTTGGCACAGGATACTCTAAGTGCCAAAACAGAAGTGTGCTCAAATAGTGATTAGGTAGCTTGATAGTGAGGACTMGTCACACGGGCCAGGACCAACCACTGCCTCCACAAGTTTCTCACCAGGCTGACAAGAGACTAAAGCAGCACAAGTATTGCTCTGTAGGTGTCTTAGATGCTGTCCYTCATGATTTTGGGGTAGGTGAATTCTGGCTCTGCTTTAGTAAAACTGCTTTCATGTTCTCCCATACTTGTGCATTCCTGCAGTGTTGTGCCAACACACTAGGTGCTCTGAGGAAAATACGATGTTTGAGTTGCCAAAGCAATCATGTTCTGAAAAAACCATGGCATGTTTTGTGTTGTGCAAAAGGGGTTTCCTGTGCTAGGGAAGACCTGCCCATTTGCCTTTGTGCTGTTTCTTCTGCTCGGGAGTGGAGCCTTCCTCCCTGAATGCTTTCCAGTGTACAAACAAGTGATTAAGCAGAGGCCTTGACCTCTCCTGGTCCATCAGCTGCAATCAGTTATTTAATGATCTCAAAACTGCAATATCAATTTAAAAAATAAACGAAATGTCTTTATTTCTTGCCCTACAGAAAAAAAATGTCTCCATGCCATCAGAATCCAAAGTGCTAGGCCATATTTTTAAAGAAGGAAATCTTTAATCATAACCTTTCAAAGTGGAAGCTGTATTAAGATATGGTCATGCTATTGCTCTGTTTTGCAGAAAGGAAAGTTGTTTAACAGAGAGAGATTACATGAGTCAAGTTTCTTGTTTCATTTTGAATGTTTAAGTATTCTCATAGAACTGATTTTATATATATATATATATATATATATACTATATATACATGTATATATGTAAGCTCCTTCTGTTCCCCTGTCTTGTTGTCACTCCCAAACCTGCAGCCAGGAATCCCCAGCTCACAGAGGTGTCTGTTGTGCAGGGCTGCTACAGCTGCGAGGGATGCCCTGCTCACTGCAGCCTTTCCCAGTGTAGCTGGATGAGCTGGTCCCAGGAAAATCCAACCACCAGAGGCAATTTCTGGTGGGGAAGATGAGCAGGAGGAGAAAGTTAAGGTGCTCTGAGAGGGAGACAGGGCTGTACTGGAGGTGATGAGCCTGGTGTGCTCCCAACAGCTGCTCACACCACATCTGCTCTGGAGCTGCCTGTCACAGTCTGTGTCTGGGCTGCTGTGGTGTTTGTGCTTAGCAATGAGCAGCTCCTCTGCCAGCTTCCAGCACAGGACCCTTCCCCCCTCTCCCAAGGGAGCAGCATTTTCTGTGCTGGGGCTCCCCCATTCTTCATGCGCTGCCCAGATGGCTCTTTCGAGTGCTGGGGGTGCTGAAATGGGGAATCTCAGCTCTGTGGAGCTCTGACATGTAAGGGCTCAACCAACAAACACATCTTTCAAGATCCCTTCTGGACACAGCCAAGTGCTGGGCTTTGCCTGTGTGTCCCTGAGGGGGACGGGAGACTCTCAGCTGGTTGGTGTGAGGGGTGCTGCCCTGTGCTTGCTATGTGCCTGCAGCGCTCCTGCTCCAGAGGGCTGGCTGTCCTTGGGCTCCAGGGTGTGCTGTGAGGGCTGCCCCTGCTCAGGGGAGCTAACACACCTCTAACTGCTGTGTTACATGGAGCAGCAGCAGTACTGTTGAGTCTTGAAGTAGCCAMGTGTGGCAGTCTCCATTTGTCATTCTCCCCAGATTAACGCCATAGCTCACTGCCAGTGGATTTTGTAGTACCTCTCATCATTAAAGCAGTTTCCTTGCAAACAGATGGCTGCAGCGTGTGACATCCCAGTGCCTGTGGGACCCAGCACAGACAGAGGAGCATGCTCAGCCCGAGGGGGTTGTATCTGCCTGGAACCCAGTGCTGAGCAATGAACAAACACAACTGCAGCCTGACCCCCCTGGGACAAGGCCTCCCCTGTCGTAGGACGGATGTGACAGACACCAGCCTGTCTCTGCTGAGGTTTGGGGGAAAGGCATCTGCCCTGGGTGAGCCCCAGCAGAGAGCTGTGCTGCAGAGGCCCCAGCAGGGTTAATGCACAGTGTCACTGCTCCCCTGGGCTGTACAGACAGCTGAGGATTGGGAGTGTGTCAGGGAGAGCAGCTGGATCCTGTAARCCAGTGAAAAGCAGCCTTTCCCCCAGAGGAGACACCCCTGCAGGTCCCTGCTGCCCACGGGGCTGTGCAGGGGGAAGATGCTGTGGCCCCAGCCCCAGGGGATGGATGGAGAGCTGGCACTGGGGTGCCTGGGGGGCAGGGCTGGCTCACAGGGCGTGCAGAGCCCTGTGGGAGTGTATGAAAGACCTCTGGACTATGGACACCACCTGGCTCTTAGAGGCTGCTCAAACAGGAAACAGGTGTGCTCAAGGACACTTTTGGGAGGATCTAGAGACTCACGTTGGTTTGCCTGGAACTTGCTGCTGAGCACTCACATCAGAGGCTCTGCTGGAAGCCAGGAAACTGTGACCTGGGTGCTGCTGGCTCTGGTTTGTGGGTTGGTTTGCTGGTAAAAATGTTTTTGTTTTTTTTTTTTTTTTCTTGTTGCTGTTAGAGGAAAAGAGACCTGTCTGGCCTTGAGTTAATGCTTTTTCCTTCTCACATCCATTTTTGCCCATAGGTTGCCACTAAAACTCATTGTGTTTCTGATTAAAAAAAGGAGAGGTTGGACAAAGCTCAGCAATCCCTTGCTGCCTGGGGCAGTCTGGGCAGCAGGATCACAGGTAGCAGGATTGCTGGCGGCAGCAGATGCTCTGCCCCMGGGTGTGTGCAACAGAAGGCGCTGCACGAGAGAGCTTTGCTAAAGCAAAACCTTTTATCTAGCTCCCCTCCTACTTTTTCTGTCCTTTACCTACAGGAACAGACTGGGGGKTTGTGTAACTCGCTCTGGGCTGTGAACCCCTCTGTAAGAGGTTTACAGAAAACCTGTTTATTGCTGCTTCACATTTCCGCCCCTTACTGGAATCGAAGTCAAATGCCAGCTTCAGTGTTGCTCAGTGCTCAGCAGCACTTCACACCCTCCCTGGCTGCCTCCTTGCTCCACCTGCTGCACACGACTGCAGCACTGGCTGCGTTTGGAGGTTTTATGAATAGGTTCACAGGCAGGAGAGGCTCCTTCCCATGCACCTGCACAGCACTGGGGTTGTTCCTGCCTGTGACACATCACATAAAGCAGACCTGGCTGGGTATTGTCCCTGCAGTGCTTTACACCCAGTGCTCCTCTCTGGGTGCCCCGGACGCCATCTCCAGCACGCAGAGCAAGGATTTCTTGCAGCTGTTTTGTGTCCATAATGGATGGGACAGCAGTGTAACACCTCCTTACTGCCAGCACCATTCTTAAATGTCCATGGCCTGCAGCAGAAAGAGTGAGAAACAGAAGGCTGTATTTTTCATGGAGGGGACATCACTTTACAGCTCAGGAGCTGTTGGCACCATGTGTACTCCTCAATTCCTCCTCCTAATCAAAAATCCCGGCTGGGTGAGGAACACAAGAAACTGCCTTGCAGCAGTAGTAAGCTGGAAAAGGCTGTGAGCTGTGGTAGAGCCAGAACTCCAGCTTGGATAGAAACTGAGTAACTGGGAGCAAGACTCAAAGCAGCTGGCTCACTTCTCCCTCCTGAGTGCTTGTGAATGCAGAGTCAGCACTGTGCTGGGAGCAGTGCTGTGTGCCTGGGAGCTGGAGGTGTGCTTGGGCTGTGCCTTGGGACAGTGGAACACATGGCTTTCATTGAACCCTTTTTGATCCTTTCAGTTTATTTAAAGAGCAAACCTCCCCATTACCCTTCCTTAAGCTTTCATCCAGTGCCATCCTTTTCCTCCCCTTCAACCAGCTCTGCAGATCAGAAGAGGATGGTGTGCAATGGCGACACTTTCAGGCAAGAGCTGAGCAAGGAACCTCTTCTGGCAAAGGATCCCCATATATCACGTCTGGGAGTCCTTCAGGAGGAGGATGTGACCCCACAAACCCTCCAGCCTGCAGATGTTTCCCAAGGTGAGCATTTGAGCTGCTGCTCTTCCTGGTCACATGGGGCTGCAAACTGTAATSAATCTCTGGTAAGGCCTTTATTTAGCTAAAACAGAATACAAACCATCAGGAAATGCCTTGTTAATGCACTGGAGATAGAATGARGCTGGAAAACTCCAGGCTGGACTGTAACAGCACACAGCCTGTGATTTAAAACCCATGTGTTCAGCAGGCCAGGAGCCAGGAGCCCCAGGCTCTAATCCCAGTGAGCTCYGCAGCAGAACTTCAGGAAGTGGGGGAGAGGCTTTGTTTGAATTTCCCCATGTTTTCCTGGGCAGGATCCTTTTACAAGTTTAAGAATTGCTTGGTTTCTTGGGGCTTCCAGTTGGTGGAAGGTGCATTTCCCAAAAGCCACCAACAGCATGCACCAAAAAATGGGGCTGGGTTGTTTTTGGTGGTTTGCTTGGTTTTTCTCTCTTTTTTTTTTCCCTGCTGTGATGTGATTAAGAAAAGCTCTTGCTCACCAAGAAGGCATTTGTTACAGGCCTGCCTGTCCCTCCTTACAGCATAAAAGCAGTTCATAGGTCTTTCAGGGCTGGTCAGAGTAAGTCCTTCGAACACAAAGTAAGAACACAAATCTAAGAGAACTAAGGATTATATTCATRACTGCAATACATTTCTGGAGCCAGTTACTAGGAGGAAACTGGGAGTTTCACCTCAGGAGCAGGGAACTGGAATGCCAGCTATGGAAGCAGATTCAGCAAGCTGGGCTATTTTTGGCTGGTGAACCATTCTAATGGCTGTTTGTTTTTAAGGTCATTTTCTGTTTGCATAGCATGTACACCCTTCTGGTGGGTGGGAGGCATTGTAAAAACAATCACTGCTGTGAAGAGTTAGGAACTAAGCCTGGAGAGGGATGGAAAAAACAGAACTCAGTGTACTTATTGCTTTAAAGCCCAAAAACATCTGCTTAGGTCATAAGGTTTGCTGGCCCACTCTAAGCTGTGTCCCCACCGGAAAAATACCGTTCCAATTAATACAGACTACTGCAGAGGATTGCAAAAGACTTGGGAAAAGTCTGTCAAAGGATGACAGGGTATAAATAGAAAGGAAGCACCAGATTTGATGCCATTACCTTCAAGCAGTAAATAGAAATTAGAACAGTCTCCCCACAGCTGAGGAATCACAACTTGTGCTGGGCTGGCCGGGCCTGGATCCCAGCTCCTGTTAAGACTGTTGTTCAATAATAACACTTTATGGTCCTGTTTTCCTGGCTCCTTCCTGTTGGCCGTGCCTTCTTTATTCACACACAGTCAAGTGATACAAATTCACTGGAACAGTAGCACTTTATAAAAGACAGTAAGAATTATTATCTTGAACTGAAATTTAAAAAAAACCCATAGCCATCTGTCAAGCAATGCACTGCTTGTAACAGGTCATGGTAAGGAAACATTTTAGATCATTGGCAGTGTATTCCCAGCCATGCTGCTTTTCCAGACCACAAAATACACAATACAAAAATATACTAGAAGTAATAACAGAGTTTGTAGAAATGTCTGCTGCAAAACACTTGCTGTTGTCTGATTTCTTGTATATTTATTCCCACCCTACATTATGATAGAATAGTTGAATAAACACAGTTTGTTTCTAACTGAATTTGAACATTAAAGTTGATCTCAAGTTAACTGTAAAGTCTTTGGCTCCCATCCTTGAAGTACATAAACGACCTTAACTTTGGACTCATGAGACTGGTAAGGCAGGAGGTGAGCCCACAAGTGAGAATCCAATGCCTTGGGCAGCAGCCCAGGAGGGAAGAGGAAGTTGAGGTGCTGTACTTCACAGGATCTTAATTTGGGGCTTTTTCCTGGATTTTCTAAGACTTTGAACAAGTCTTCCCTGGGCTGTCCTAATACCTGATAGGCTTGAGTTCTTCAAGTTTCTAGTAATTTGGTGCAACTGCCTGTGTTTGAGATCTGGGCTCTGCACTCAGCTGAGTGAACTGCAGTACCTCTCCCTCTGTATTTCACTGCTCAGTGTAATGTCACCTGTCCCTTTCCCCTCTCCTTCCTCCTCCTGGCCCAGGAAGCTGCTGCTGGCCTTACTGTGCAGGGATGAGCAGCTCTTCCCTCAGGCTGGCACACTTGCAGTGAGAATCTCAGAATGCTCATGGAAAGCAGCATCCAGAGTGGCCATTGCCATGACAAGAACACACTGTGAGCAGGCAAGTGTGTTCAACTCCAGGATTACTTGCTCCTTTTCTCCCAAGAGCCAATCTCAAAACATCTCAAGAAAGAAGTTCATATTACTGTGTTTTAGCAGAGAGAAAGTATAAGGCACTGGAGGTGAGCTCATTTGGCCAAGATTGATCCACAGGGTACTGCCCCAGTCTTCAGTGYTCTTCACCGAGCTGCTCCTCTCTGCTCACAACATATGAGACATTCTCAGAGGGGTAACCTCATYACTGCTCTGACACCACTCACAGGGGCCAAGATCCACCTTCCTAGGCACAGCCTTCAGAGGAAACATTGAGAAGGACATGCATTGGAGGCCAGATTGGCTTCCCAGTGTCTAAACACCACCAACTCACAGGGAGGTCAGCTATGGAAAGATGACCAGGATACTTCTGAGGTATAAAACTCTGTGTCTGCTGGCCACTGCTCAGCTTTCTCATCATCAGATTTGTCGCTGTCATCACCACTGGAGGGTTCATAGCCCTGGAYGGCAGAGCGGATCGGCCCCATCTGCCTCTGATCCACCTCTGCCTCCTTCTTCTTCTCGGCCAGCAGCTGCCTGTAGCACAGGTTGCAGACCCTGAGGGGCTTGGGGGACAGCCGGGGCATCAGGAACCTCTGCCTGGAGCAGTCTGCGCACACGACGAAGCCGCACTTGCGGCAGTGGTGCCGGCGGGTGAGCGTGGAGAACTTGGTCTGCGTGCAGCGCATGCAGATGTCGGTGGCCTTGTCGGGGATCCAGGGGGCCGCGTGCTCCGTGCAGGGCTGCCGGCCCGTCTTGGTCAGCAGGTGCTTGATGCACTCCTCCAGATGGCTGATCCACTCCTTCCTCTCCGTGAGCGAGGCTGCGGAAACCACAAAGGACTTCTTGGAGGTTTTAATCATCCAACGGTTCTTCATCTGCAAGGTGTCTGGCAGCGTCTCCAGAGTGACATCTTCAAGGGGGATGATGTGCTGGGAATTGTACTTCCTTTTGTTGATGACTATGCTGCCGTAGACGAGGATGTCGTTGAAAAGGAAAAATATGCGAGGCTTTGGTTTCTTGCGGCATTCTTTGGTTAAAATCCCTTCCCCCAGAAGGACCCTGCCCGGCAAGGCTAAGGGCTGTCCGGAAGCCCCAAAGCAGTTTTCCACAGCAGCAATGCGCTGGCTGTTGATCTCGGTGTTTGCAAGATGGTCCATCATCTCCAGCTCACTCTGAAGAGAGGAAAACAAAGAGGGAAGTGGTGAAGCTGCAAACATCTGCACTGGGGTGAAGGTGAGCAGCCAGTGTGTGCACAGGTGAGATGCTCCTAACRCCATCTGAGGGTACAAGTCATCTCCCAAGYACTCCTTGCTTTATTTTTTYACCTTTYTAAATTAACTCTTCAAACCTTGTGACCTCCCTTCGCAACAGCCTAGGCTATATTGGGACAGTTCAGTTTGCAGCAGTGGAAGCCCTTGAAGGCAGAGCCAGCTCTTCCATTACAGATGTGCTTTTTACCAGTCTCACTGTGTGCCCACAGAAAAGAAAGCAGCTTGGTCTCAAACTGATTTTATACAGATCCATAGATCTGCATAAAAGGGTCTTGAGAGCAAGCCTCCCATTTCTGACTGCACACCTGCTTTTTCATGGATTAGTTACAGATACACACACCMTACAGCTCCATTTCAGGCCAGAGCTGAGGCAGGAACAGAAAAAAACTCTGATTATCACTTGTTCCTGGTGGTCCTCCATGCATGACAAAAAGGGGGGAAAAAAAAATAGAAAAAAGTCCTCATGATGTGAATAAAGCCACACCAAGCTAAGCCTTTCCTCCCTTATCCCAGGGTTGATGGTGCTTCCAGATGCAAGACACATCATTCTGAAAGTGTGATCTCTGCTGAAGGGGAAGTGGAAGGCAGCACACTCATCTCCCCCACACCTCTGTACCCTCCTTCTCACACAGTTTGGGGGTTTGAGAGTGTGCTGGGGTTTTGCTCTAACAGGAAACGCAGGTAAGCGTAACTCTGAAGTGAAAGCAGCTGTTTGCTGTTGGCAGTCTGCAGTAAGGAAGGCGCTCCCTGTGAGCCCGTTTTTCATTGCCCCTTGCAGGCTGGAGGGTGCTGCCCCAAGGCCCGCTGGCCATGGGAATSTGAGTCATTTCCTGCCCAGCGAGGTAGCTGAGCCATCACGAGACAGCTCCCAGATCACAGGGACATGCGTTGTTACCCTGGCTGCTGCTCATGGCTCATGGAACCACCAGTGCAGAGCTGCTCCCCACTGTTATCCCTGTGCTCCTTGCCCAGAGTCCCTGCTGCCAAGGAGGCTGCAGGGGAAAGGGAAGAAAGGATGACAATATGCCCACTCCTGTGTGTTCAGGGCGTTCTACCATTGTCCTTGAGCCCTAATCACCCCTTTGCTGTGCTGAAGGGAAACCACAGAGCTGCAGCTGGAGGCTACTGCACACCGTGTACCTCTCACCTGACCATCTGGCAGACAGACCTGGCAACTCCTCTGAATTCCCAGAACTTCCTTCTCCAGGGTGAAAAGGCACAAGGCAAAGACAGGTTTAGCTATGGGAAACCTAAATGAAGTGACTTACCCTGCAGAAATAGCTTGAGAGGCCCTGAGTGGTCAGTGCTCCTGAAGAGCTGCCTTCCTCAAGGGACCCCCCAAGCTGGGGGGAAGGATGTGTTTCTGCAGGACCTCACAGCATTGGAAKGTGCTGGATGGAGCTGGGCAGTGTTGGGCACATCCACTCGTGTGAGTGGGCAGTTCACATTGAACTGAGTGCTCTGGCCAGGCTGGGCTGCAGCCAGAGGGGGAATCCAGGACCTGACTCCAGCAGCAGCGGCTGAAATCACACCCCAACCAACCTGCCCTGGCACAGACCGCAGCAGCTGTGCAAGTGTTTGTTCCTCATCATCAGAGAGGAGAGAGGCTCATTCCATCGTGGATCCAGCAGCCTGAGTGGATCCATGCACAGGAAGGAGATGCCCTGCTGCAATAAGCACAAGGAGTTTTTACCCTCTCCCTCTTAAATACACAAATTAGGCTGAAGAACAAACAGGCAGGGCAAAATGTGGTCCACAGCTGCACACCAAACTCCTTGACTAGAGGTTCCCAGAGTCTCACCTGTCCTGGGATGTGGTCTCTCCACAAATCCCTRGATGAGGAGCTTCTGAGTGAAAGAGCAAGATGAGCACACAAATAATAAAAAACTCAAATTACARCTTGGGATCTTTGGTGGGTAGACTGTGAATACAAAAAATTACTGTCAAGAACTTCTGGCACCAGCAACATCAAATGGGATAAATGAAAGCAGTCCCACCAGTYCTGCTTCCTCATGCTTCTGGATGATGGAGCTTTTAGCCTCTCATTTATTTTAAGTAGTTTAGAAGCATGGTCCAGCCTCTGAAGAGCATATGGTACTTGWCATGACTCTGTTTCTAGTGATCTCTGTGCACTTGATCTCAGGGGAAATGAAAACATTTTGTCAGATATAAAGACAGTGCCTGCACAGAGCCATGAAACCCAAGCTCATTTTCACAGAGGAGAGTCAGCTCTGCTGCTGTGAAAGCTTTGGCTCTTGCATTGATCTGTGTCCCTGCACAGGCCAGGAAGCTTCTGGACYTACTGCATGGAGCAARAGGAGAAGGGGCTGGACACAGTCCWGCAGTGTGACAGAAATGAAGGTGAACTGTCATTACACATCACACTTCCACCTGCAGCAATGTGCTTACAAACCCTCTGGTTTGTTACCTACCTCRATGCCACAAGTTAACCAAAGAAAAGGCAACTCTGTCGTGGGAAAATCTTCTCTGCTAAGACTAAAATTGTTGGCTGCTCTAGCCCAGGGTATTTCCTGAAGGAGTTTTKCTGGGATGCAAAAGTAGAATGTTTTCCTTCCATCTCTCTCCCCTCAGGTCTAAGCGACTGGAGAACAGCACATACAATAAAAAGGAAAAAAAAATAGTAGGAGTGGGATTTCTGCCTGCCTTTAGACTTGGACAACTAACTCTATCCCTCCGTGTGCTCCCTGTTCAGGCTGGGGGGAGAAACAGCCGTCTGAGGGGCTGACTCATCACATCCCACCACAAGCCAGATCCATCCTGCCCCCAGTTCCACACAGCACTCAGCTTGACTAACCACATAAAACCCAATTTCATGTTAATACCGTGACTCACTGCAAATAATCCACAGTTTGGCTTGGAGCGCAAGCTCTTTGTGAATTTGGTAAATAAAGATAGCTGCTGAGTGTTACTATGATCTTCTTTCCTGGGAGATGAGAGCCTCTCCCTTTGGAACAAAACAAGGTTATGAAGTATAATCTATTTTGTTCATTTTGGGAAATATATATTTTTAGCTGTTTGCTCAAGTTTGCTGTGTCAGGTCAGCAGGGTCACAGTGCTTATTACCAAGTGCTACACATGCCCACATACCACATGCAGCASCAGCAGCAGCTTACCCAGCTGAAATGAGGGTGGCAAGATGTGCTTTGCTGGCGTGCTGCTTTTCACAGAGGTTTCTGGCATGGGGAATTCTGGGCTTGTTTTATTCATCGAGATCTGCTGGTTTTGCATGTGATCAAAGGCTATGCAGTGAATATGACTGATATTCAAAGGACAAAAAATAGACTTGGCACTCCACTCCAGAAGTAAGCACGCCACAACACTTAACAATGAGCGCTTGTTCACTTGTGATTATGARCAGTCATGTTGATGCCTGCCAGGCACAGCATTTCAACTTAAGCTCCAGGGTCAGCGAGTCTGGGGTATGTTTTTCAAGGCTGTATGTATCTAAGGCTTAGGTGTACCAATGTAGCGAGCTGTCCTACCTGATCCTTCTGTTTCTGCCATCAGGCAGATCTGACAGGCTCGGTGTCCATTGCATACCTAATGCATACCACTCATGGGATGGTCCCTGAGTGTCAGCACACCGAGAKTTGACTGCTGAAGGCTGCCAGCAGAAAATGCCCCGAGCCTCATCTCTCTGCAGCTTTCCTTTACTCCCTCTTTCTGCCTTGCTCAGCTGAGAAATTTCTCCTAGAGTTAGGGCTGACATAAGTTCTTGTTCACCAAGGACTGCAAGTAGGACGCAGCTGCCCGAGCAGGCATAAAGAGCAAGAAAAACGAAGTTCCTCTCCTTTTCCTGTCCGAGGGCATTTCAGCTTGCTTCTCCCTATTTCCCGGCATGCTGCAACTGCTGGGYTGCTGGGGTAAGGGGGGCAGGCTCTGGCACCCTCCCTGCTGCCATACTCATGAGGAACCCCGTGCAGCACATGYACACTTTAGGACTGTCACACTGGGCCGCTGAGAATGTCACCAGTCCCAGTGGGACATGGACTGACTGAGCCACCAAGCTTCTTGCCACTGCTGCTCAGAGCAAGGGGCTGGCCGAGCAGTGGCATTTGAGATCAGGCTGATGYCACCAAACCCAGCTGCTGGCAGCTTGAACTCAGCTGTGGCTGCTGCGAGTGCCAGCCAGGCTCAGAGGCGCCCAAGCAGCAGAGGAAGGGAGGGAAAAAGGGAGGAGGGGAGGAAAACACGAAACTCAAGGCAGAGCCTCACCCACCCCCTCCGTCCCCCCACATCCCCGGGCACTCCGCCCGCAGCTAACGGACCCGTGACTAACGCCACCCACGGGCTGGCTGGCGACGGGGAACCACCGAGGGGAGCGACAATTCCCTGTCCCTGCCGGCATCCCTCTGGAAGGGGGCACGGCCCGAGCGGGGCTCCGCTCACAGCTCCGCGGCGGGAGCAGTGTCTGCGGTCTGGTACACGGCAAAGTTGGGAACTTAAAGAGTCCCTCTAAAAACCCCAAAATACCCGCCCCTCTGAGCGGCGCTCGGGCYGCGCAGGCACCGCACACGCGTGGCGGGACCCGGAGGGGCAGAATACATCGCGGACCCCGGGCGGTACATACCGGGGGATCCCGGGCGGGCRGGACACACCGCGGGACCCCCGGCCGAGCCCCGGTGGAGGGCATGGCCACTCCTCCCCCACCCCACCGCTCCTGTCCCCCCGATCCAGCCCCGCGGCAGAAAACCCCCGGCCCCCCCGGCCCGCTCCAGCCCCGCTCGCCCCGTACCTCCCGGCCGGCCCCGCCGAGCGCTCCCGCGGCCGCACCGGGCCCGCTCCGCTGCAGGGCCGGGCCCCGCTCCCCGCTCGCCGCTCCCCGCCCACCGCACCGGCGGCCAATGGCGCCCCGGGGCCCGGCACGGCGGGGCGGTGCTGCGGGGGCTGCGGGGGGCCTGGGTGCTTGTGTGCGGGGCCTTCGTGTGTCCCTTCGCTGCGTGTGTCCCGTGGCTGCGTGTGCCCGGGGGATTGTGTGTGTCCGGGGCACTGTGTGTGTGTGCCCGGAGCTGTGTGTGTGTTCCCAGGGCACTGTGTGTGTGTGCCCGGAGCTGTGTGTGTGTTCCCAGGGCACTGTGTGTGTGCCCGGAGCTGTGTGTGTGTTCCCAGGGCACTGTGTGTGTGTCCTATAGCTGTGTGTGTCCCATAGCTGTGTGTGCCCGGAGCTGTGTGTGTGTTCCCAGGGCACTGTGTGTGTGTGCCCGGAGCTGTGTGTGTCCCACTGGCATCCAGCACCCACCGGGCCCCACAAACATAACTCAGTGTATGCGGGTCGCTCGCAGTTTCAACTTTCATCACCTGCTCACAAGGACAGTGATACACACGGGTGACATCGTATAAAGGTTGTTTCAGTGGTAAAACACCCCCAGTGTTATTTATATCCCAGAGGGATATAAATAGAGCTACACATTATACTGTCCCCAAACAGAAACCAGACCTCTTCCCAAGCTTTGGATCAGCTCTTGTAACCACTTTTGTGATTAAAGTTACAGGCCTTTGTGTKGAGAACAAGCTATTGACACTGAAATTGGCGTTGTGGGAGCTCTTCTGCATCCCTCCCTCCCACCCACTCATCCTGCCGTGTGTCACTGCCAATGAGTGGCAAGAGGCCGTGGTCGTCCCTCAGCCCCGCTGAAGGTGCTGCAGGGGAGCCGAGCCCTGTCCCCTGCCAGGTGCGGTGACACCACCCCAGGCCTGTGTGATCYATAATTCAGGTGCTTGCTCACTTTCTGTAATAGCTTCTCTATTTTTAATGGGAACTGATGGATCTGTCAAGGCATTAGAAATATTTTTTTTTCCAGGTTTTCATTTTCTTTGGGAATAATAATGTGGGCTGGGAAGCTCAAGGTGCACTTTAGAGCTAAAGTGCTTGGCAGTCATGGGAGTTTCCACGAGACCTTATCTCTTTCGTGTTCATGTCAGATGAGCAGATGAACGAGGGCATGGACTAAGTTCARTGCAATACGTGGCTGAGCAGCAGTGTTGGAGGGAGGGTTACAGAGATGCCAGGTCACTGACAAACCCCTGGAAACCTGGGACAAGAGAGCTCAGCACAGAAGGAAGGCTGGGCACTGACTCAGGCTGTCATTAGAGCTTTAGTGTGGGGTCTTTCCTGTCCTGCCTTTTCTGTGGGAGGGCAGGACACGTCTGTCAGTGGAAGGATCACTGTCAGAGCGGTTCTCACAAATGGGAGCTGGTGTGAGCCTGGGTACCAGCTCTCTCTGTCCTGGCTGCCTCGGGAGCAGTCTGCTAACTTTGGGGAGACCTGCCCCGTTTAGAAATCAATTCTCTACAGAATGCTGGGTTTTTTTTACATGATCTAACTGTAAATATCTGTAAACTATAAATAGACAAAGCACTGAACTCAATATGCCAGAGTTTGTCTTAGCTGTCAGACTAATTCAGGTTTAACCTGCCACAGATTATTACTCTGAAACTGTTTTGATTTCTTTTTCTCCTGTGTGCTAAAATTATTCTGAATTTACACTCATTCTATCCTAATTGTAGTCTTTATTACTAAGATGTAATATTTTAGTTTATTTTTTTTGTTGTTTCTCATTGTACTCACCTGGACAACATATCAGCCTAACATAGCAGTGGGTTGGTCAAACAGCCGGGGATTTGAGGGTTTATTCTTCTCCCTCTTCAGTCAGAAGTGGAGGAGTGTTCAGGCAGTGGTTTCATAAGGCGAGGGAAGCCCCGAGATACACTTTAGGCTTGCAGTTAATATGAAGCACTTGCAACTGAGAGCTCACTTTCTGTTGGTATTTTGTTTGTTTGTTTTGGAAGCTCCTACACACTTGTTTGAATTCCTCACTGAGACACAGACTCGGAGTTTCACCAGTAATCTTAAGAGCTGTTTGATAGGCTCAGGAGCTCTGTTTTTCCTGGCTGCAAAACCAAACATTTGTGGGACCACTTGAAAAAGCTGCAGCCCGAACTACCAGCTTTTAATGCAACCAGAGCAAGGTGAAGAGACTTTATCTGATCTCTTGCCTCGGGCATTTTCTCCAAAGCCACTTGTTTCTCAGTAGCAGACATGTCTTGCCYAATTGGGATGCAATAATTTCAAAGCAAGTAAAGGAAAGTGCAGCTGCTCAGCTGAGTCAGCCAAAGGTAAGCTCTGCAGGGGAGAAAATGTTTTTTTATTATCTTCTGGTGGCAAAATTACTACAACAGCCCGCAGGAAAAGATTAGATTATAACAGTAACAAAAACATCTGTTAAATTCTGAGCTCAGTGTATGTTTAGTGCATGTTTGAAATAAAAGAAAAAACAACCCAGGCATTTGATAAAATTCTTTTGAATAAAACTCGGTATTTAGATTCAGTTTGGGATGTTAGGAGCCCACTGTGATCATAGGATAGGCAGTGGTTTTAACTGATKGATTACACGGGGCATTCCAGCAGTGGACAAGAGAGCTTTGAGCAATGGAGATTTTACTGAATTGAGCTTGGAATACTGAGAGTCAATGAGGGAATAAGACAACTTGTGTTCATCATACAAGTAACTTGTAGGGTGAATGAGCTCTGTCCTGAGTGAGTGTGGTGTGCATGGGGGTGAATGTGTGTCTGATCTGGCTCTGGGGGATTCAGCTCATCAGCCTCTTCTGGAAATGTGTGACTTGCCGTGATTGATTTGTGTCTCAAAGCCCCAGGAACTCCATCTGGGTGCTTTAGCAATGGGTTGTTCCAAGTGTGACAGTGCAGAGATCAGATCCCTGCTGGGCAGACTGGAACTCCAGAGTGCCAGTTCCCAAATCCTCACCAGTCCACGTGCCTTGACACTGCTGCCCAGCAAACCTGTTTCAGAGGRTGCTTGTGTCTTTGGGGCATCTCCCAACCCTCCTGCAGGAAATTACCACTTCTTGAGTGCTTCTGGGAGCCTGGCTGCAAAGTGATTCTCTGACTGATGAAAGTATTCTTGAAATCAACCTTTGCTTGCTCCTCTGCCCTTTGCCTTTTGCATGAAGCAATCCCCTATCAAAGTGCTTTTGTTTTTTGCAGAGGCAYTGCTGTGCTTTGCATGTGTGCAGCACTTTATTCTCAGGATGYTGAAGTGCAGCACACATTCTATGACTCTGTGAGGGTTTGTACCCTCCTCAYGGGGAGTTCCACTCCTGGAGTTACGTTTGGTCACACGGTGCTTGCTCACCGACACACARCAGTGGATTATTTGCTCTTATCTTCAGCAGTAAGGGCTCTGGCTCAGGGTGAATCACTTGGGAGCTGAGGAACAGTCCCCAGAGCTCCTGACTCACAGCCCCATGTGCCTCACCACAGGACTGTGTCCCAGCTCAAGTGATCCTTACAAAGGCTGTTCTGTGCAGGGACCACAGAGCCACTCACGCTTGCAGATTCTAAAGTTACAACTTTGTCTTGGTGTTTGCTGTGCCCTTCCCTGTTCTGACCTCAGCCCTGCTCCCAGGTCACATSAGCACAGTGCTGTGGAGCTGGAATTCATTCTTCAATAACTGATAATTATCAATAATCTCTGAGTGGATCAAGTGGGTTGGTTGTGACGAGTCTCCAGGTTGTACCCAAGTGCAGGATTCACAAYAGGGGAGCTCAGAGGTTGCAGCTCTGCCAAAGGGAGCTGTGCACGCTGGTCCCAAGTGCACACTGASAAACCAGCAGGAGCTCTGACATGCTGCCAGACCTCTGCTTCTCAGAAGTGCTCCCCAGCAGTGGGAACAGGCTCGAGGTGAAATACAAAAGGTGAAGGTGAGAAAAAGCTGAGGTAAGAGAATATGTAATGCCAGAACTGTGAGAAAGTGCAGGTGTTCAGTACAGAGTGGGATGTAATATTAGAACAAAATGCATGAAATTAATGTGGGAAAAAAGAGGTGTGACTAAAAAAGCTRCTGAGTGCTTTTTGCAGCATGCTGTGAGAGAGTGCTGCACCTTCTGAGCTCAGCCTTCCTTCCAGAATTCACCACTCTTTGCATGGTCTTCTGAACTCTTTCCCTGCTGTTGCCTGACTGGTGATCTCATATTCAGTGTGCTTTTATTGCACTGGATAAATCACAGTGAACAAATAACTGGTGAACAAGTGTTTCAAACACTAAACTGAGGTAGATTGGGCATTTCAAATATTGAAACAGGGGAAAAGCACGGGGAACAAGAGTGTGATAATCACTGGTTAATGCAAAAAGATGTAGATGACCAATTGACTGATTAGTCAAAGACAAATAAGAGTTTAATTCCTGAACCCTGCTTTGTCTATGGATATAGCTTCTATTTAAGTGAGGAACATGTCTTGGTTTCTTTCCTTTGTAACTGCTCTCCAGGCTGAGTATGTGTGTTGCTCAGAAAGGAAAAATCCTCTTTTTGTRAGGGACCTTGCCCCACATCAATGCTTTTTGTGCAGGAAGGCATCTGCTGCCATTGCCTGGGGAAGTTTCATGCATTGGGTGCATGTGCATAGAGCTCCGTGAAAGTGGGATAAAAAAGCAAATCTTCATTTCCTTTTGTGCTTTTCAAATATAAGGGAATGCAGCCAGCTGGTGTGGTTTTTTCCAAGGTGTTCTGCTGACATCCTGGAAACCAAGAGAGCAAACCTCAGCTTGGCTGAGATCCCCACCCATTGGCATGAGGGATCCTTAAATGGAGAGGCTCTGATCTGAATGAGGAATTGGGGATTTCTTCTGAGGTAGAAGAGGTTCATTGGCTTTTAGAGATTGTGTTGTATGGCTGCCTGGGCTGTGCAGGATGTGTAGCATGTGACACAGAGGATGTGTGAAGGATCACACCTTAATTTGCAAAGTGTAAAAATCATTGCCTGCCTGAGAAGCCAGAG